GTCCATGGGCAGTTATGGGCAGTCACAGTCCGAAGGGGTTCAGGTAGGGCAGGTACGGGTACACTTCTTTTTTTTTTTAGCAGGTAAGGATGGGTAAAGGTCCGATAGGCCATCTATACAGTGGGTATGGGTAGTTAGTTTTTCAAAGAGGGTATGGGTAGGTAAGGTACAGGTATTCCAAAAATCCCAGTTGCCACCTCTGATACACATGCATCCAGAGAGGAAGGGAGGAACGCATGATGGAGGCAGTGAGGAAGAGCGCAAAGGGGGAGAGCAAAGGGGGAGAGAAACAGAGAGAGGAAAGAGAGAGCAAAGAGAGAGAGGAAAGAGAGAGAGAGAGGGGGGGGGAGGAGAGGAGATGAAAGGAAAGAAGGGACAAAGGAAGAGAGGAAAAAAGGGACAAAAGATGAGATCGAAGGAGGGGAGGGAGGTACTGAAAGAAGGAAGGGATGGATGGGAGGAGAAGATGAAAGGCAGAAATACAGAGCGGGAGATAGTAAGTCAGAAATATTGTTCAAGGACAAACCACTTGTAGAAGGTTGCTGTTCCATTGCTGACGGCAGCCTGAAATCACTATCTTCTTCTGCGCTTCTGTCAATCAGCCACTGCGGTATGTGCTGAACTTCACTGAAGACAACGCGCAAGTTCATACAATCTTGCAACACACTCTTTGCGACACACGTCCTGGGAACAGCAAAATATATCCCCTTGGATTCCATCTGCAGATGCACCAAAATGAGTCCCATCAATGCAATGTCCACACAGATCAGGTTAGCAAAACATTTTGAAATCACATCTGTGTCATCTCAGACAGGATGGCACTGTATCTTATTATGACGACGATGATATTTCTCCCTGGTCTCCATAACTTCAGGAATTGATTTGTGAATACCATCTTCACCCGAAGAGAGTGTCCGGTCATTATAGCCGTATTTGGTGCATCTTTCATTCTTGAAACAGCGCTCATGACCAGGTGTTCTATTCGGGTGAAGACGGTAGCAGCAGCAGTCTAGTGACGAGAAAGACGCCCATAGCTGGCGAAGTTGGTGCTGGCACTGATGTGTGTGTGTGTGTGTGTGTGTGTGTGTGTGTGTGTGTGTGTGTGTGTGTGTGTGTGTGTGTGCCTGCATGGGCACTTGGTAGCAATCACCATTGCTTGGAGGAGGTGAAGGAAGGTTTGGCTCTGCACAGGACAAGGGGCCAGCATAACTGGCGCTGACCAGAAAGACAAAATGTTGGCGACCCCCATAGCTGGCGAAGTTTGTAGCATCATCAGACCGCTGCGTGGGCATTTGATATAAAATTACTATAAATCACCATTGCATAGAGAAGGTGAAGGAAGGTTTGACTCTGCAAAGGACAAGCGGCCGGCATTGCTGGCGCTGACCAGAAAGACAATTTTGGCACTTCGCTCTTCCTCTTCTTCTTCTTCTTCTTCTTCTTCTTCTGCTGCTGCTGCTGCTGCTGCTGCTGCTGCTTCTCTTCCCACCCTTGTGTCGTAGCATTCTAGAGCCCCCGTCAACACTCCCCTTCTCCCCGCTCCCCTTTCTGTAGATAGCCTCTAAGAACAATTCTCATCTCTTTCATAACCCCCCAGGGATGGTTATCTTTCAAGACCCCCATGACATTCCACTGCCCTCCCCCTCTACCCC